ATCAGTAATAGGACTGTTTCATTTTCTTATCATTCATGTGCCCACTGGAGTAGTACTTTTAATTTCTTTCAAGATCTTTTCCTTTACATTTGAAACTTGGCTGTTTGGCACAAGAGGCCTAGCTTTCAACCCATCTACAGGCAGATTTGGTTGGTGTCTTAATACAGCAAACCATGTCACAGGCTATCATAGCAAGTATCTTTAAACAACAAATAATTTCCTTCAGTACAGTTCTATAGTCAACTAACCTTCTGGTCTTAATTTGGTTTCCTTGGTAAGTTTATCTACCAGGGAGACAATGTATCAATAGGCTGATAGAAATGTCTGGTCTGCTGGCAATTATAATTGTAAAGTAAATTAATAGATTGTTTTTCAGGTGTACGTTAGTCTCCTGCAAGTTTTATTAAGTTGGCTTAACTACCCAAAGTCCTTATCGCCTTCAATGAGTATACTCAAATCATAAGCTGAAAGGGCAGATCTTGGACCTTGGTAACCTCACTTGGAGACAGCCTGGGAGGCCCAACCTGGATCGCTTGTTAGCCTCTAATCAAAATCATTATAATTACCAGCCCTCAGGGAGCCACTGGATCTCAGATCTCACAGTTACCACTTACTCTTGGCATTCCTTAATAACTTAGCAAAGGTCATCAATGTCTCCTACAAAGCTCCTAATAAATCCGGAGATAGTTTTTTCACGTAAACACCTCCATTGTACATTCTGTCCGTAAGGAAACTTTTACCTCTAAGAATCATTTTTATGAGAAGAATGGTGGAAGTATATAAAGGAGGTGTGCAGGTGAGCATCACAAGAAATTACTATAAAGAAGAAAGGAGAGCAGGGTGCTGTGGCTGACACCTGTAATCGCAACACTTTGGGATGCTAAGGCAGGCGGATCACTTGAGGCCAGGAGTTTGAGACCAGCCCAGCTAACATGGTAAACCCTGTCTCTACTAAAAATACAAAAATCAGCCACGGTGGTGTGCACCTGTAATCCCACCTACTCGGGAGGCTGAGGCAGGAGGATCACTTGAACCTGGGAGGCAGAGGTTGCAGTGAGCCGAGATCGTGCCACTGCACTCCAGCCTGGGTGACAGAGTGAGATTCTATCTCAAAAAAAAAAAAAGAAGAAGAAAGAAGGGAAGGATGAAGAATGGAAATGGGATGGGGGGAGGAAGGAATGAAGGAATGGAGGGAGGGAAGAAGTGAAAGAGAGAAGTACAAGTAGTAGTTCAAGTTTGAATTCTAGATCTACTACTTACTAGCTGTATGAACTTGGGCAAGTCACGTATACTTTCATTTTATAAGTCACAGACATCCTTCCACGTTAATAGCTATTCATATTCTTTTCAATGACTGCCTAGTATTCCAGTACAACGTAACTAATGTACCCATTGTCTTTTGCTGTGCTTTAGTGTCCCTCATCTGAAGAAATGGGGATAATGTAACTTATTTCATATCTGTGAAGGTTGGAGTTAATGTGCAAAAGTACTTAGGACGCTGGGCATGGTGGCTCATGCCTATAATCCCAGGACTTTGGAAGGCCAAGGTGGGAGGATCATCTAAAGTTGGGGGTTCGAGACCACCCTGACCAACATGGAGAAACCCCGTCTCTACTAAAAATGCAAAATTAGCCAGGCGTAGCGGCACATGCCTGTAATCCCAGCTACTAGGGAGGCTGAGGCAGGAGAATCGCTTGAACCTGGAGGCGGAGGCTGCGGTGAGCCGAGATGGCACCCTTGCACTCCTGCCCGGGCAACAATAGCAAAACTCCGTCTCAAAAGAAAAAAAAGTACTTAGGGCAATGTTTGGCACATTGCGAATAGTTTTCTATTTTATTTCTAATAACTTTTTCTAATTGATTGTTTTCGCATCTTGCTACTGAAATTGTAGAAGTCCTAAAACCAATTTTTTAAAGTCAGAAAATAAAGCACAATGCCTATTGATTATGGAGATACTTATTTCCATAAGCATAACTAATGAGATTATGTTTGTCAAATTTTAATGTGCATAAATGTAATTTAATCAACTGGGCATCTTGCTAAAACGCAGATTCTGATTCCAATGGTCTGGGGTGGGAGTTCAGACTCTGCATTTCTAACAAGTTCTCAGGTTATGCTCATTGCTGCTTGTCTGCACATCACCCATTGAGTACTCAGGATACAGATGGTTTGATTCAAAGGGAAAAAATACATAAAGGAAAAAAGTAGATATTATTTGTAAAATGAAGTTAATACTTACCTCATAAGATTGGTGTGAAGATAAAGTGAAATATATCTAAAACGTTAGAATAGCCATCAATGGGGAACACCCTACAATCATATTTTATTGCTTTATTGCAGGATTGCACAATAAATATATTACTCATATATGAGTATAATATGTAATATACAGAGGAGCTGTGTATTAGACATTAATTTGTCTAATGATTGTAATATGCATGTTGCATATTATGTATGACAAAATTTTATTTGTTGGCTTGCTATCTCTTTTATGGTGTCTGTTGCCTTACAGAAATTTTTAATTTTTATACAGTCAAGTATTTCTCTTCTGGGTTCTTTTGTTTTCTTTGGAGCTTAGGAAGCTTTTCCCTGTCCCTAAATAATAAAATATTCTCCCAAATTTTTTCAAATAATTTCATTGTTTTTGTTTTGTTCTGAGATAGGGTCTCACTCTCTCATCCAGGATGGAGTACAGTGGCTGATCACAACTCACTGCATTCTCAAACTCCTGGCTCAAGGGACCTTCCAGCCTCAGTCTTTTGGGTAACTGGGACTATTGGCATGTACCACCTCCATACCCAGCTAGTTATTTTATTTTTTATTTATTTTTTAAGAGACAGGGTCTTGCCATCTTGTGCACACTTGAACTTCTGAGCTTAACCGATCCTCCTGCCTTAGCCTCCCAAAGTACTAGGATTACAGGCATAAGCAACCACACCCAGCCTGTTTTAGTCTTAATGGTTAAGATGGGAAGGCGGGGGAGAGTTCAAAATGTTTTTAACAATACACCTACATGAGACTTTCCCCACTGGTTTTATGGTTTATTCAATATTCTATTATCATTGCTACAAGAAAGAATCAAAGAAACATATTACACAAAATACATGGATAAGCTAAAATGTACATAGAACAGTAGTCCTAGCCTTTTCCATATATCTTTTATTCAACCTATTTTCATATTGACACTCCAGATCAACATTCATAAACCATTTAACTATCAAACATAATTGCAAATTAATATTCTTAATTATTGCACATTGGTTCTGCCCATATGCAATCCACTTGTATAGTGCTAGTTGAGTACTAGAGAAAAAATTATCTTCATTTAGGTCTCTACTTAAAGCACATCTCATTAATAATCAAGATACATTCAAGAATTTATCTTGAAATGTTAATGTTATAGGCAACTAGGAGGATTAATTGAAAGTATTAATCTGCATATACCACCGTGGGCCTTCTATCAAACCTCAGGTCCTCCCACCCTTTTCCCTACTTTATCTTTTACCATTCACACTACTATTTGCAAAGTGGTATTGTATACTTACTGTATGTCTCACCATGAGAGCTGGGGCTTTTTCCTGTTATACTACCCTCTAGCATCTAGAACAACTCAGATGTACCTCATAAGATTGGCTGAATAAATCACTGAATAGTTTCAAAAAGTTAATGTAATCAAGTCAAAACCAAAAAGTGCCCAGTATGCTAGAAGTGGTGAATCTTTACCACGTCAGCCATTGGAGTTAGGCCAGTTAACAATGTACTAAGGAACAAACTAAATAACATGTGTCTGACTGATCTAGGAATTCATACTACTCTAAAAAAATGAAGTATTGCTCTAAAAAGATAACTATCCAGTTTGTCTGTTTTAGGCATTTAGGCATAGAAGGTTTAACTTTTCTGCATTCCAGTGTGCAGTTATTGGGTGTTAGAGCAGTTTCCTCATTCCTTGAACTACTGCAACATGTTCTAACATCATAGTTCCAAAAGTGGACTCCCTGACTGCTGCAAAGGTGAGCAGTTCCCTAGGTACCCCAATACTATATGTTTAGATGGGAGTAATTTCTGGAGACTCAAGCTTGAAATCACTCCTCCAAACCTTCCAATGATTTTGTAAGAAACTATGTAATTTCAAAACTGCCAATATAAATCTGCATTCCTCTTCAAATAGCTAGAGTGGTTTGTTTCCTGAAAATTTGTATATGATCAAGTTTAAAAATAATATAAACTACACAGAACTATTTCAGACTATGGGGAGGGCAAGCAAGACTAACACACAAAAACATATGTGTACACATGAGGAAAAAGATCACTAAATACACCAAAATGTTAATGTGCTCATCCCTGTTAATAGAAATATGGTAATTTAAATTTTATTTTTACTTATCTGTTTTCTCTAAACGTTTTTTGAGAATACATTAAAAGCCTTTTTAAAAATTATTTCAAATAAACAAAATCATACAGGATAAAAATATCTAAATGTATCTTGAAATGTTAATGTTAGAGGCAGCCAGAAGGATTAATTAAAGTATTAATCTGCATATAACACCATAATATACACACAAATACGTATCATGGTCCTAACTAGGGAAGCAAGTCCCCGTGGTTGTGACTTCCGAGCAAATATTTGTCTATTCTAGTGGCACAGCTGACTGCTGTTAGAAAAAGGGCAGCTATCTTGGGAACTAAACATATAAGGTGAGAGTAGCCAGTGCTGCAGCTGTTGGCAAGCTTTTTGTTGATAATACCAGAAGTACATCCCTTAGAACTGGTCATTTTGAAAGGCATAAAATAGAATGGAAGTGCCTTCACCTACCCAATAATTAAATAAAATTTTAGAAAAGACTAAATATGAAACGAGCAAGACTTTCTATAAAATGTCATTAAAAAAACTTTCCACATAGCATTTATCTATTTATGGGTTGCTCTTTATTCTTCCATTTTCTGTACCCACTAGCTTCATGACTTAGTTTCAAACCAGCAATATATGGCACCCAGACAAAGACAAGTCATACTTCTTTATTCACAGACAGAAGTAATCATGAAGTATCACAAGGGATTTGCAATCATCCAAGAAGATGCAGATAAAATAAACCATTCTTAAGCTATGGAAATTCCTATTAAGGAATTTTGTTAGATTAATATGAAAAAATCCTTATATCTATTAACATGGTCGTTTTACAAAGATATTTTTCAAATGTCATTTGATATTACTTTTGTTAACATTTTCAGTGACAATTTTGATGAGTTCTAATTTTGGATCTTTTATGGCTACTGCTTTCTGTGACTTAAGAAACCTTTGACTAACCCCCAAGTCACAAAAACAATCATCCATGTTTTCAGTTAAAAAGTTCCATATTCTTAAAATATTACATTTAGGTCTATGATTCATCTCCAAGTCATTTTTGTGAGGTAGGGGGTCATGTTCATTTTTTTCTATATGGATATTAAGCTATTCTGGTTCCATTTGTTGAAAAGACTTTCCTTCTCTGTTGAATTGTTTTGCCACCTTTGTCGAAATCAAGTGATCATATAAATGTTGATCTGTTTTCAGGCTCTCTTCTATTCCATTGATTTATTTGGCAATCCTAGTGCTATATCACACTGTATTGATTACTAAATACAACTTACCACAATAATCCTCACATTGCTTAACAAAATTTAAGCCTCAATAGGAAAGGATATATAAATTAAGCTGAAATAAATGAATGGGATCAAGATGAGCCTTCCTTAAAAATCCATTTTTAAAAATTATATCATGGCTTTGAAAACACTCCATAATTATTACTGTATCAAGAGCAAAACATATTTACCCACAAATAACTGAGAAACTACATTTTTCATTACCTCCAACTGAAATTTGTATGAAAAATATTTCATTAGTTTTTCTATCAATTTCCCATCAGGTTTTTCTCCATTAGTTCTAAGTCATTTAATACCACAATCACTAAGCTTAAAAACAATCCTTAAAAATTCATGTGCTGAAACTGGAAGATGGGTACACGTTCTCCCTAATAAAATATATTATGCTAAATTTATTTTACAATAAATAATGCTAAAAAGTCATGTATCAACCTCAGAAATATTCTTGATAAAGAAAAAAGTAGATTACTTCCTTTTAAAAAGAAAGTTTTATAAAGTCTTCTTTAAAGTCTGACTTGCAAAGGAAGATTAAAAGTAAGAAAATTATTACAAAGGAACTCCCAAAATCAATTTTAAAAAATCAATTGTGAGCAAATTGTATATGGCTCTTGGAAACTGCAGGCTGTACGAAATTTATTCAAATTGGCATAGAAAGATCCCCCATCACCACTACTATCTTTTTAAAAACGCAGATATCATGAACTGTCAAACCTCCAATTTTTTAATATACAGCTTATGAGCTTGAAAAAGTATTCCATTGAGAGTAACACCAACATTCTTTAAGATTTACAATTTCTTCTTAACCTGAAATTTTGCTTTGAAGCGTAATACTCAAGACCTTCCTGAAACAATTCTCTACTACATAAACAAATAACCCCAAACACTTGAAGAAAAATTACTAAAATAAAATTGAGATGTTTATTACTTTTCTACTGACAGCAGTGAAAATCACTGCAAATTATACTTTTGTCCTTTTTAAATGATTTACATTTAAATCATACTTTTTCAAATAACTGGTATAGCAGATAAAATTCAGTTTTAAAATCCTCAAAACACTCAGATATCAAAGATAGAAATACTGATTTTTTTCCCATTAATGATGATAAGAAATAAGACATCCAGTTTCATTAAGATCTGACAATTGCAAATTTTAAGTATTTAAATTACAGATAAGGAGTATCATTTGTGCATTTTCTAGGTTCATATGGTAGTTACACATCCAGAAAACTAACAGTTCTCAGATTCAATGTCAAATAATGGAATTTGGGCAAGCACTCTTAATATCACTTTCATTTAATATGCACTACATGCACATGATGCAGGTAGGGAAGAAGTTTATGAATCCATGCATTAAAGACAAGACAGGCTGGCACTACCGCCAAACGTGCACTGAGCCAATTAGGATGTTGCTCAAAGTTCTTTATACATAATGATTTCCATGAAAATATGTGCAGAAGCAGAAATGTGTACACATCCCAAAACATCCTCTTCATTTGGTTTCCTGAGCTTTCTTTGCGTTCTGTTTTTCTTTTGCCTAAAAATTAAAAACAGTATGTTACAAAATTTTAAAAGTCAGTTTTAGACTGTATTAAAATAAAATGTGCCTAAGAGGGTATTCTCAAGATGAAAGGTTTGAAATACATTGTTTCTAAGATTTCTAAAGCATTATGTTTTATAACTTGAGACTTATAACAAACTTTTCCTGGACAATTAATAGTTATTCTTTGCTCTAAGAAAGGATCTTGTTTGGTTTGCAGTTCTTTCCTATCTGAAGGTAAAATGAATTATTATAATTATAATAATTTAAAAATTCCATAAAGTCAAACTCAGTCATGAGTATTCCAAAACAATATATGTACACATATTTGCCTATTTCCGATTCAAATGAATATAAGAAAAATCTTACATTAGTTTCTGCAAATGTGAATAAATGAGTTTAACCTAACAGTTTAAGTGAGTTTAACAGAATGTCACTAAAGGATTATGTATCCCTGGTGTCAACAAACTTTATTTATATGACTTAAAACAATGTTCTTCATGACAATTATATAGCTTGAACACAGTACTTCTGTCTTATTCTTTAGCAAATGAAGCCAGAGCTTATAGATGTTATCAAGCTTGACCAAAGTCCCACAGCTAGTATACAGTAAGTCCTCAACACAGATCAAAGACATATGCTTTATAGCATTGCTTCTCAATGTATATACCAAAGACTTAAAGATCCTGTTAAAATGCAGACTGATTTAGTAAAATGCCTGAGGTTCTGTATTTCTAACAAACTCTCAGATGATGCCAGTTCTGCTGGTATTCAGAAGACATTTCTAAAGCAAGATTTTAGAGTACTACAACACAATATTTTCCACTGTGCCACTTCAGAAGAGTCAATAAATTTCTACATTATACAACTTTTTAAAACTTCCTTAAATAAAAAATAGAGCAATTAAAACAATTACAATCTTTTTGTGATGTATTAGGTACTATAATTATTACTTAACAGTAAGATAAAACTGAGTGTTGTGCCTTAGAATAAGAGCAAATAGTCTGCATGCCATATTAAACATTATAAAATTAATTGCCAACATCAATGTTTTTAGTTAACAAACATAATTTGTAATTTGGTATGTGTATCGCATCTCAAAGTTTTCTTTCCTCAAATAATAAACATAATTTGGTTTTAGGCATAATTTAAAATAAAAGTATGTGCTTCTTTCCTTATTGATCTCGGAGTATACTTAGTAGAATACTGAGAAGGATTAACAAGAAATACATTTACTGGTTTCTGATATAAACTTTACAAAGTAATTAAATGAGTAAACATATAAGGCAGAGTGTTCATACATTTATTAAAAAGTTATCACCATTAATTGAGCATTATGGTGAGCACTAATTTATATACTTTACAGATATGATCTCATTTAATCATCAAGAATGTGAAGTAGGTATGATTCCCAGTTTACAGATGAGAAAGAGGTTATAAGAAAGTAAGTGCCTAAAAGCACTAGCTAGTAAGTAACATATATAAGATTTAAATTCAAAGCCTGTATTTTGGTCTGCTTTTGTTAAAAAAAAATCATATTTACAAATAGCATGGAAAAATATATACTGTTAAAAATACTTTCCTTCTATACAGTGTACCAATGATATTAAAAAGTACTGACTTAAATCAGATAATTCTGCATTAATAGATATTAATGTAGATACTGTTGTGATTAGCCTTAACTATTCTTCTACCTTATTTCTATTAAGAAATAGAAAAAGATCTGAAGCTTACTTATTAGCAATCGAATCATAAAGTCATAGTAAAATGTGGACAAAATTCAATATTGTGAAGTTTCTGTGGATTCCCCCATAGCAATGGAATTTATGATTTTATATTATGTTAAGTTATTGATAGTCAAAAACTTAAGATAATCATTCATAATTACATAATGTGTAGACAAAAATTTTTTAATCATAAATATACTCGAAAAAATGGAAGTCTCACAAATATAATCTTAAATTACATAATTTTATTTTATATTTTAAGAAAGAGATTTGGTACACAATACAAGAAGTTTTACAACTATATATTTTTGGATTACCTCCTATGCAGTTTTTTAATGTGGTATATATTCAATGAATTCATTAGTTAAAAAGTCTCATATAACAAAAACATTTATAGGTCCAAGTTCATTACAGCCATGCCAAGGGAGAATCACTTTTTATTTATTATGTTGCAAATAAAAAGATTTTAGCTCAAATACTTTTATGTCATCATAGACTATAGGCAACTGCCTCAGCTATTCAAAAATCTGATCCTGTAGAATCTCGGCATATAGTAGCACTGCATGGGGTAGCCACATCTTTCCTGTTTGTTTCCTTCTATTCCTTCTCACACCTTGTTCTTTTATCCTATTTTCCCTGAAAACAAAGCATAATAAGATCCACTATTCCAATTTATCTATTTCTGAATTCTATAGGTAATTTTTCTTAGAAGTATTACTATTAAGTAACCATCACTGGTCAAGATTTTATATAATTATAAAAGCTAATATTTAGCAGTATTTTAACATATTTTATTTTTAAATTTGCATTTATCTGCAGAAAATGATATTTTAATATGACAAAATAAGATGAACAAAAATATATTCTTGCAAAGGAAACTGATATATTGCTACAGATTAAGTATTCCATTCCAACCACGTACTTAGAACTTTATGGAAGTGAAATTTTAAGTGGCTATAAAGTTATTTAGCAGCTACCTTGTGCTTGCTGGGGATCTTCAGCCTGACTTTATCCTGGCATTCATCAAAATAATACTATTTAGCACAGTACCATAATTGTTCATTTATTCCTTTCCTAAATCGTATCATGAGTTGCTTAAGAGAAAATAACACATCTCAGTTATACATACATCCCTAGACCTTAACAGAGTGCCTGGAATATCCTTGCAGCTAGATAAATGTTTGATGAACAATTTAAAACATTTCAACAATTCCAATTAAATGAGTCTAAGCTCCTTCAGAACCTAGGAGAATAATAGTTATTGCATGCATACAAGAAACAAATCTATCTCAATATTGCTTCTGGAATATTAATAAAAGAACAACTTAGAGAAATAAGCCACTAGAAGGTCAATAACTACTTTCCCTAAGAAAATGAAGGCAAACACAACAGAGTTGGTGTTCCACTATCATCAGGTATTCATATGCTGCCACCTTGTGTCCAAAAAATGTGAAGTAAGGAATAAAGATTCTAATGTTAAGCTGACAAGCTGTTGTTCTCTAACTATGCTCTCAAAAAAAATCTGGGGATATAGTGTAATTAAAAATCAAACAACAGTGGTCCTTTTACTTACTAATTTGCACACACAAAAAATTCCGTTCACAGATCAATTTTAATGCAAAATTTATACATTTAAAATTTGTCTAAGGGTCCTGGTCCCTAGTAACATTTATCTAACTTAAAATCTGATGCATCACATATTTAGCACATTGTATAGTTATTTTAATATTTTTAACAGAAAAATATTTGATAGGGTTAATAACATATCTAGGTATTCTTGTTAATCAAGCAATTTTGAGAACCACAGGACCCTGTATTAATCTAAAATTTGGAATACAACCTGAGATGCACGAACAGAAAAAAACCTATAGTGAAAAAGAGATTTAGCAGTCTTCTGCAATAATTTTTACATGTAATGCTAAAACTTGGGTCACATGTTTCAATCAATAAGGTATATACACAAAAAACTTATTAGCTCACATCTCATATTATTTAGAATGTATAACACAAAACAGCTTGGTTGAAATGTATCTTTGCTTTGTAAACTTAAAAATTAATAAGGAAAATATACCTACCATGTATTCTCGTCTTTAAGTTAATGGTCCAAAATTTTATTTGCCTAGTAGTGTCTTCTCAAAGTGTTTCTCAAACTGTGGTACACAGACCAGTTGCATTAGAATCACTTGGGGAACTTATTAAAGAATCCTTCCCCTATATCAGAATATCTGGGGAGGGGCCAGGTAACACGTATTTTAAAGAATATCCACTGATGTTCACTTTCAGAAACACTGACAGTATGAACTTAAAAACAATTTAACTGCATTTTACTTACTCAACAAATATTTTATTGTTACTTATGAAAAAAATAATAAAAATCAGATTTTTTCACTAACTTATGCTAGTTTTCCCTCAGTGGAACGGATGCTAGATTAGAAATAAGAAAGCCTGTTTTGTAGTACCGGCTATTTTTTTTTTAATCCAACAATGTCCATTCTACTTTTAAATTCTGTTATATCAACTCAAATTTTTGCTAAATAGGAAAATATCTATTATTTCAAGTATTAGCATTAAAAATCTATTTTTGCTTAAAGAAAGAATAGTGTTTTAAATTTTATTTTAATATAGTACAACCTGAGGTCTTGACACTAAGAATCTGGAAGGCTAAAGCAGTGGGGTAATTCTTTATTTTTGTTTTACAGTCTCAGTTGAACTAATTCTTATAGAATATAAAACAAGAATCAAAAGCAAAAGAATAAAAATGTACAAGCTTCCAAAAATTTTACCTCTAGTCATGAAAAAAAAAAAAAAAAAAAATTTACGTTTTTGGAGAATCTAAACCTAATTTAAGTATCTACGGATAAAATACTTACCTTTTCTACTAGTGGTATTAACTGCTGGTGTTCTGCTAAAGTCTTTAACAATTCCATAATGAAAGGCAGATAATTATGCTTCCTTCTGATATTCTCAATCTGAAAATAAAACAACATCAATCCACACTAACTACATTTCTGCTAATTTTGGTATTGTACTCTTTGCATCCAACTCAAAATAGAAATGGTATAAAATATCCACTCTCATAAGAAAATAATTTTAGAAATAATGAGACTCCATTCCCACTGAGAATAAAGATTAACACAATAAAACACGTGGAGGGAGTTTCTTGGGCGGGGCTTCCTGCCCCTGACTTAGCAAATAATAGAGGACTTTAAAAGTCCAATCTAAGATTACTTATGAAAATGTCATTTATAAAAACAACTAAAGGTCTACATGCTAAATTAACATTTGCTACTTCACCTAATCAGGCAAAGTCTAATGAGACCAGCTTTATTTTGTGATCAAGCACAATCTTTCCTTCAGATTATTTTTTATCGAAAGGAGGTACATTGCAGGAAAAAATTTATACTTCAGTGGAAAACTATGGACTGTCTAGATAACATCCTCTCAAGTTATGTGATTCTAGGCTCTCACTGCCACTGAGCTGTTATATATTCTGCCTGGTAGAAGTATAATTGATTGCCCTTCTTCCATAGAAAGTTTCCATCTCTTATAAATTTATTTCAACTTCATATAAATTTGAGCTTCTCTGACTACTTCTTTAACTAGAGTTCCTTCAGTTAATTAATTAAATTAAAGCTTAACACGTTTGTTTTATAGCAGTATGAGAATAATTTGATCTTTTTTTAAACAAAGCATTCCCAAATAATAAAGCAGGAAACTTTATGGAAGTTATGGAAACTCTGTGTTGTATTTTGGGCGGATATTAAAAGTTAATTACATAATAACTACATAAGTATATATAAAGATGGGTAATTTACTTTTTTAATATCATGTGAAATGGAAAATAATTGGTAAAGCTATTATTTCTTCCTTTCCTATCTCCACAAACTTGGCCCTCCCTCTTTCCTGCCTGGAATACCCTAGAGCCTGCCTGCCTGCCCTTACCACTTCCACCTGAAGAAATTCTACTAGTTTAAGGCCCATTCATTTCATTTAGCAATCATCTGCTGTCTGATAAGTATGAGGCAAAGTATCTGTTGTCTGTTAAGTATGATGCAAAACACTTTACTGACACTGTGGGGAGCAACAAAAAGGATAGTTCTTGCCTTACACTGAGGTTCAAATGAAAAACAATCCTTTTACTACCATAACACATGACAAATGACATACACATTCCACATCCAAAGATAACACAAAATTCAAACTTTCCTCCACTCTTTCCGCTTTTCTGAAAAAAGGTTACCAGACGGATTGCAAGTGAAAGACAATACATTATTAAAAATAACTTTGCCTTTATATTTGATTCTGAATTATATAAATGCTTGTCATGATTAAATAAAATTAAATCAGAATTTTTAACTCTAAAAAATCTGAAAGCAAAATCAACAGGAAAAAGTTTTAAGTGAATTTAAAATACAGTGATTTGATTATATATTCAAAATAGGATATACCCTAAGGAACAAGAAAAACAAGAAAAAAACTATTCACTTGTTATTATACTATTGGCTATTATTCTGAACCTTTTTATATAGATGCATATACATATATACACAAATACATTATATACATACTACATGTATATGGCATAAAACAAATAAGTAATTACATTAATTTTGTTAGGAACCCAAGATTTTCAACTTAATAGAAGAAATGCAAATTATTAACTTCCTTATGCACAAAGCCCTTTAATCCTAAATTTGAGTATTAATATGAATACATGATGTATTTCCTCTTCAAAAATAAAGTATGAAACAAACAAAAGCGTATTTGCAGTGCTAAAAAGGCCTAGAAACAATGATCAATCAGCAGCACTGAGCCCGAGTGCCCAGATAGTGGTTTCTAAACACCATTTTGCATCAAGGGAACAAAGGGCTTATTTATGAAACGGCTGATTCTAAGCTTAAGCAAGAAATGTACAAGAAAAGTCTAAGGCAGGCATGGTAGCTCACACCTGTAATCCGAACACTCTGGGAGGCCATGGTAGGCAGATCGCTTGAGGTCAGGAGTTCGAAACCAGCCTGGACAACATGGTGAAACCCTGTCTCTACTAAAAATACAAAAATTAGCTGGGCATAGAGGCAGGCACCTGTAATCCCAGCTACTCGGGAGGCTGAGGCAGGAGAACTGCTTTAACCCAGGAGGCAGAGGTTGCAGTGAGCCAAGATAGTGCCCTGCACTACAGCCTGAGCAACAGAGCAAGACTCTGTCTCAAAAAAGAAAAAAAAAAAAAAGGGTCTGAAACATTTTCTATCAGAAAGCAAGGAAGCTGGCTGGGCATAGTGGCTCACACCTGTAATTCCACCACTTTGGGAAGCCAAGGCAGGAGGATCATTTGAGGCCAGGAGTTTGAGACCAGCCTGGCTGACATAGTGAAATCCTGTCTCTACTAAAAATACAAAAATTAGCCAGGCGTGGTGGCACAGGCCTGTAACCCCAGCAACTCAGGAGGTTGAGGCAGCAGAACAGCTAACCCGGGAGGCAGAGGTTGCAGTCAGCCAAATTCACCTTACTACACTCCAGCTTGGGCAACAAAGTGAGACTCCAACTCAAAAAAAAAAAAAACAAACAAAAAAGAAAGCAAGGAAGCTATCAGAAACTAAGGGGGTTATGTCAAAAGGACTCACGAGACAGCCTGAAGTGGCTCCCACTGGCCAAAAATAGGATAATTTGAGCATCAATAAGAATGATAACGGGCCGAGTACAGCGGCTCATGCCTATAATCCCAGCACTTTGGGAGGCCAAGGCAGGTGGATCACTTGAGGTCAGGAGTTCGAGATCAGCCTGGACAACATGATGAAACCTGTCTCTACTAAAAATACAAAAATTAGCCAGGCATGCAGGCAGGTGCCTATAATCCCAGCTTCTTGGGAGGCTGAGAGGGGAATTGCTTGAACCCAGGAGGACGAGGCTGCACTAAGCCCACATCATGCCCTGCACTCCAGCCTGGGCAACACAGCAAGACTCTGTCTCCAGAAAAAAAAAAGTCTGAAACATCTTATACTAGAAAGCAAAGAAGCTGGCTGGGCGTAGTGGCTCACACCTGTAATCCCAGCACTTTGGGAAGCCAAGGCGGGAGATTCATTTGAGGCCAGGAGATCGAGACCAGCCTGGACAACATGGTGAAACTCTGTCTCTACTAAAAATACAAAAATTAGCTGACTGTGCTGGTGTGGGACCATAATCCTAGCTACTCAGGAGGCTGAGGCAGGAGAATTGCTTGAACTGGGAGGCAGAGGTTGCAGTGAGCCAAGATTGCCTCACTGCACTCCAGCTTGGGCGACAAAGTGAGACTTCATCTCAAAAAAAAAAAAAAAAGTAAAGAAGCTATCCAGAAACTAATCAATAAGAATAATAACAGGCCGGGTGCAGTGGCTCACGCCTGTAATCCAAGCACTTTGGGAGGCTGAGGCGGGCAGATCACTTGAGGTCAGGAGTTCAAGATCAGCCTGGCCAACACGGCAAAACCCTGCCTCTACTAAAAATACAAAAATTAGCGTAGCCAGGCATGGTGGCGCACACCTGTAATCCCAGCTACTTGGGAGGCTGAGGCAGGAGAATTGCTTGAACCTGGGAGGTGGAGGTTGCAGTGAGCCAAGATTACACCACTGCATAGCAGCCCCGGCGACAGAGCGAGACTCCGTCAAAAAAAAAAAAAAAATAATAATAACTACAGTGAACTGAAACATCAAATAGGTTAAAATTCTGTTCCTAGTAATATTTTACAAAAATAAAAATGAAAGACATCTCACTACTTATCTTTGTAGGGTATCAGAGAATCAACATATTATTTGAAATTTGGTAAATGATAGGAGGGAAAGCCATCAGATATTCAATGTACCTTCATCTTGAAATATACTGCTCTACATTAAAACATTAAAGGAACACATTTTTAAAAACATACCTTGTATCTTTTTAATTTCTGTACTTCTTCTTCAATAAGCATCTGATTTTTGGCAACTTCTGACTGAATAGCACTTAACATACTATTACCTTGATCTGTATCCATGGGTTCCTCCTTGGGGGAAGGAAAAGAAATAGCACACCCTAATAATTGAGGCTTACATTCAGAATATTTTAAAATAATAAACACAGTATGACTATTTTTGAATTTCTACTCTTCATATTGATAGCAGCATGCCAGCCTAACAGCAGCATTAAAGGATAAAAGCTCCAAAATTGTACCTTCCATATTTCTGTTTTAATAATATGAATTTTCATCTAAAAACAACCTACACTGTAATATACTATATTGCCATATTCTCCTAATACACTATAAAATAAATTTTCTTAAATATATTCTTAAGAAAATGTGATCAAAGGATGGTAAATAAACTTTTGTCTACTAAATCTCTTCTCCAATGACATTTACTACGGAAAGATAACCATAGACTAGTAAAGACTACATGTGACTCTAAATGTACTCAGTTAACTCTTTGAGAATTAACTTGCTTAATTATATAATGAAATCACAGAAAATAGTTAAACTAGTTCATTCCTAACACTTATTTAGCATTTACCATTTGTTAGTCATTAAGTGATTTACATATAATACCTCATTTACTCCTCATGACAGTCTTATGAGGTAAATACTACTTATTATCTTTATGCTATATGAAGAAACTGAGGCGCAAGGAAATATACTCAAATTCCTATATCCACTAAGTGCAAAGTGAGGAACCAAATGAATCTAGGCAGCCTGATTTCAGAGTGTGTATTCGCTTAATCACCATTCAGACCACTTGATTATATATATATATTTAAAGTAAATACTATTCCTGAGAGAATAACCAAGCTAGAACTTTGTACTTAGAAACATGGCCACGAACCTCTGCAAGTTGTCGTTGTAACTCTGCTATCTTCTGTTCATATATCATTTTTCTGTCAGACACAATGGCCATTAAATTAAATCGAATTTCACCTTCACTGTACCTAGAAGAAAATTATTTAAGTTTATAATGTAATAAAGAATTGTACAATTATTACCATTAAGATAATCCATTGTGATTCCCCTCTGGATTTTCTAGTATAAACAAAAGTATATCAATTGGCTAACAATAAAAATGGACACTTTTAAAAAGTGTCAGGCACATAGGTGTGCATCTGTGGTCCCAGCTACTTGGGAGGCTCAGAAACGGGGAGGATCCTTTGAGTTTAGAAGTTGGAGGCTGCAGTGAGCTATGATAGAGCACTATACTCCAGCCTGGGTAACAGAACAATACCCTGTCTCTTAAAAAACAAAAAACAAACAAACAAACAAACAAAAAGCTTTCATATAGGAAAGACAACTATAGCAAAAAAAAAAAAAAAAAAAATTAGGTAAATTTCATCAATCACAAATGTTTTTCAAATGTTCTAAAATAATGTTAGTATCACTTAAAACATGTGAAATAAAAAATACTTTAATCAGTTTCCCTACCTTTATAAGAAATATGGCAACTCATTAACCTAAGAGCTCAGAAAAACACAAATGAATACTCCACATTTGTTAAATTAATTAGACTGGCATCTTGATTGGAATTAACTATGCTCCTTTATATAATTTTTCCCAAGTTATGATGAACTTTCTATTTTTAATTTACGTATTTAAAATTTTATCTTATCATATGTAAATAAATATAACATATTAATATAATGTATAATTATATCGTATAGTAAAACTTCCAAATGTTTGATTTTCACTACTCTGATATAAATGAAGCATTTCATAACATAAGCTTGTTCATGGTAGCAACTGATATTAAAAGCATTATTTGTAACACTATGTAAATGGCACTGAGATGAAAACATATAGAAAATGTAGAAAATGTAAGCCCATTTTGCATTAGTTTATCTCTAAGAGTTTCTCATACACAGCTCTATTCACTGAAAAGAACATGGCCCAATATAACTATAGTGCTTTGAACTATGTAAAAATGTTTTTAAAACACTGATTGTGGGACTTCATGTCCCTATTCCTGCCATTAAGTACAACTAAAAACCCTGGACATAATATGTTTTTTAAAAAGAGCAACCAAGAACATTCTGAAAGATAGAAAAAGGCAGACAAGGTGGGGAACTCAGGAACCAAGAATGATACAATAGTGAATTCCCTGAGGTTTTTTTCTGCCTCATATATCCCAGACTTGGAGCTGAAGAAACCAGCAACCCAGAAATACCAACAGATACAGACAAAAAAGCCCCAATAAAAGTCTGCTCTCTCTAGCCAAATAGAAAAGGTGCAGCCTCAGAAGACAGAAAACTTTTAGACAATAATCATTCTACTATAGCCAAACATGACTGAAAAATCTGTAACCTCACCCCTACTCAAAACCAGTAAAAGTAGAATAGTGAGCCTGGACTTCCAACCTTGTTTCCAACCTTTAACAAGACTCCTAGGTTGGTATTAAAAAAGGCTGGGTAGGGAATGGGGACTTTCATCCCCACCATGTGGTAATGACAACACCCATTTGTGGTATCAGAGGACACAGAATGGGAAGCTAAAATTGCCACTACCATCCAGTGGCAAAGCAGCCTCTCCCACTTCAGTATGAGTGGAAAGCAATAGCAAGGCACTTCTACCCCTCTCAGCCAGAGTGGTATCAATAGAAACCCTGCTGGGGGCTAGAACTCCTATCTCTGCCCAGCAATAACGAGAAGCCTTATTCCATTTCAGCTGTCACTGAAGGCCTAGTAGGGAAGTTGGACTTCTACTCCCATCTGGCAGTAATGAGGTGGCACCCACAATTTACCCTGTCAGAGCCAGGTCCATAAAAACCAGCTCACACAGAAATTTTAAATAAGATCCAAAGTTGAGGGGGGCACCCAAGATGGACGAATAGAACACCTCCAGCCTCCAGCTCCCAGCGTGAGCGACACAGAAGACGGGTGATTTCTGCATTTTCAAGTGAGGTACCGGGTTCATCTCACTGGGGCGTGTCAGACAGTAGGTGCTGGTCAGCAGGTGCAGCCTGACCAGCAAGAGCTGAAGCAGGGCCAGGCATCGCCTCACCTGGGAAGCGCAAGGGGGAAGGGAATTCCTTTTCCTAGCCAAGGGAAACTGAGACACACAACACCTGGAAAATCAGGTAACTCCCACCCTAATACTGTGCTTTACCAAGGGTCTTAGCAAATGGCACACCAGGAGATTACATCCCACACCTGGCCCGGAGGGTCCCATGCCCACAGAGCCTTCCTCATAGCTAGCACAGCAGTCTGAGATCTAACTGCAAGGCGGCAGTGAGGCTGGGGGAGGGGCGCCCACCATTTCGGAGGCTTAAGTAGATAAACAAAGCCTCTCGGAAGCTCAAATTGGGTGCCCACCACAGCACAAGGAGGCCTGCCTGCCTCTGTAGACTCCACCTCTGGGGACGGGACATAGCTAAACAAAAATCAGCAGAAACCTCTGTAGATGTAAATGTCCCTGTCTGACAGCTTTGAAGAGAGCAGTGGTTCTCCCAGCACGGAGGCTGAGATCTGAGAACAGACAGACTGCCTGCTCAAGTGGGTCCCTGACCCCTGAGTAGCCTAACTGGGAGACATCCCCCAGTAGGTGCAGACCGACACATCACACCTCACATAGCTAGGTACACCTCTGAGACGAAGCTTCCAGAGCAAGAATCAGACAGCAACACTCGCAGTTCAGCAATATTCTATCTTCTGCAGCCTCCACTGCTGACACCCAGGCAAACAGGGTCTGGAGTGGACCTCAAGCAAACTCCAACAGACCTGCAGCTGAGGGTCCTGACTGTTACAAGGAAAACTAACAAACAGAAAGGACACCCAC